AACTTTAATTCCATCACCAGATACAATGTGGCCTAGGAATGCCATAGACGCAAGCCAAAACTCACACTTAGAGAACTTGGCATACAACTCCTTATCTTTCAAAGTCTGAAGAACTATTCTCAGATGGCTAGCACGATCCTTTTCATTCCTTGAATAGTTTAGTATGTCATCAATGAAGACGATAACAAACATATCTAAATAAGGTTTGAACACTCTATTCATAAGGTCCATGAACGCTGCTGGTGCATTAGTTAAATCGAACGACATGACCAAAAACTCATAATTACCATAATGGGTCCTGAATGCTGTCTTTGGAATGTCACATTCCCTTACTTTCAACTGATGGTAACTTGATATGAGGTCAATTTTTGAGAAACAGGAAGCACCCTGAAGCTGATCGAAAAGATCATCAATCCTCGGAAGAGGATACTTATTATTGATGGTAACCTTGTTCAACTGGCGGAAGTCTATACACATCCTAAGGAAACCATCTTTCTTTCTCACAAACAAGACCGGAGCCCCCCAAGGTGAGACACTTGGTCGAATGAAACCCTTATCTAGGAGATCATTCAACTGCTCTGTCAACTCTGCTGGTGCCATTCTATATGGGGGAATAGAGATAGGACGAGTACCTGGAATGATGTCTATGCCGAAGTTTGTTTCTCTCTTAGGAGGGACTCCGAGTAGATCATCAGGGAAGACTTCTAGAAACTCTTTTACTATAGGAACTGACTGAATGGGAGGTATCTCAACACTAGAGTCATTAACTCGGACCAAGTGATAGATACAACCCTTCGAAACTAACTTTCTTGCCTTAAGGTACGAAATGAAACGACCCTTAGGCACTGCTGAACTACTACTCCACTCTATGACTGACTCATTAGGAATCTGAAACTTGACAACTCGAGTTCTACAATCTATTGATACATAACAAGCATGAAGCCAGTCCATACCTAGAATGACATCGAAATCTACCATGTCTAACTCAACTAAATCAACCATAGTGCTCTTGTGATTGATGGAAACGGGACAATCAAGATAGACTCTTTCTGCTAGAATAGACTCCCCAATAGGTGTAGAAACACAGAAGGGTTCACAAAGTTTCTCAGGAAGAACATCAAACTTATTTGCAACACAAGGGGTTACAAAAGATAAACTTGCTCCTGGGTCTAGCAAAGCATAAACATCAAAAGTAAAGACTTTGATCATACTAGTGACATCTGGAGAGTTCTCTTGCTCTTAGCGACTAGTGATCGCATAGAGGCGG